CTGTCGTATCTTTGGGTTCACAAGATATAAACAGCTGCAAATCATCAGCATATATGTGATATTTGCAGTGATGAATACAACTGATGATATCGGTGATATATATAATAAACAATAAAGGTCCTAAAATCGATCCTTGTGGAACACCTCTAGATACCGAAAGAGGGTGAGACGAAAGAAACGACCCATCTTCCTTTCTAATTTCTACGATTTGACTTCGGTTTGAAAAATAGCTATTAAACCACTGAATTGTTTTTATATCAAAACCATAATAAGATAATTTAGATATAAGCAGTTGTACGTTAATTGAATCAAATGCCCGAGAACAATCCAAAAGAGCCAACAAAGTTCCTTTACCATCATCTCTTGCTTCTAAAATATTGCCTACCACGTCTGATAAAGCTGTAGAGGTGCTACGGTTTTTCCTAAAACCAGATTGCAAGTCAGGTAATATGCTATTTGCCTCTAAATACTCCATCACTTGTAAGTATACTACTCTTTCCAAAATTTTAGATAAAGATGGTAGTATACTTATGGGTCTAAGGTCTTTAATTTCAGTAGGATTATTGGTTTTAGGAATCGGACGCACAATAGCCATCTGCCATATCTCTGGAAAGGTACTACTTAGTATTGATTCATTGATTATTGTCGTGATTGCGTCTAAAGAATATGGTAGCGTGAGGTGTAACATGTCACGGCTAATGCTATCATTTCCCTGCGCATTTGATTTTAATTCAGTGATAATTTTTAGAACAATATCCCGACTAACAGGCTTAAGACTAAAAGTATTTGAGCTAAATCTATTAAATTCATAGTAAGTTAACTGAGACATGGTAACACTATGCGTACCAGGAACGTCGAGAAAAGTTTTATTCATTTCATCAGGGTTGTTAAATGTTGATGGAATTTCAAAGTTCTTAGCATCTGTTTCGGTTTGAAGGGTGGGATATGGCGTGAATTTACTGGGTACAGAGGAATAACACCTGAGCCCTCAGGAATGGCAACGCGTGGGGGTATCATGGGCGAAACAGTATACTCTGTTATGTCCATGGTACTGCTCATGTCTATAGGCGACGGTTACCACTTTCCATCAGGTGGGCCGTCTGCTTGTTCGCCATTCTAAGTTGCATAAAAAAAGATATTGACGGCGAAAAAAGGTCATCACCTATTTCGATATCGCCCATATCGGTGGGATATCTATTTTCGAATATGTTAAAAGTCTGTTATCTAGTATTATTTTCTGGATAAAAGACTTTTAACATATTCATTATTGGACCAATGTATAGATATTGTTTCTAAAATACACAGATATTGCTATATATAATCCACCTCTACCATAAAGTACTGCTTTGGGCTACTTGTATACATCAACCCACTGTATTTTGATATTATCACTCTGGAGTATCCTTTTTAGAACTTTTCTTCATTGGAGTTTTATATAAAATTGTAATCGATATAATTTACTTTTATAGTAATATTAAGTTATACCTGCGGAAAAGTAGCTTTACTAAATAATAACTCATTGTTCCTTTGAACGCATTAAATTTGGCGCCACGCTCTAAGTAGCTCACTCTCACACGCGTTCTACGAATAAATTTCTAAAATATAGTATTTTTTTAAACAACTTAGAATGGCAAACTAGCTGACGGCTGACTTGATGGAAAGTGGTAACCGTTGCTTATAGACATGAGCAGTACCATGGACATAACAGAGTATACCGTTTCGCTCATGATACCCCCCATGCGTTGTCATTCCTGAGGACTCAGGTGTTATTCCTTTGTGCCCTGTAAATTCACGCCATATCCCACCCTTCACCTCACCCTTCCAAACCGAAACACAGCCATGCATACACAACTGCTTTACGGTTGAAACACGAATGGGACAGAGGTGCCCAAGCAATCGATTTTTGTACAAAGTCTCCCTCTGGTAAATATTAATAGTATAACTGTAATAAATTATAAAGCTTCATCAAAATCCGTCTAATAAGTGTTTTTGCGTGAAGAAGTAACAAACATCCATCCATTGTTACATCTTTTGTATTTATAACATTAACACGATTGGAAATGAAACTTTTTATAAATGCCATGTAAAACAAATCAACGTTGAAGTTTCAGTATTAACTCTATCTGCATATTGGAATAATAGAACTGCGAGTGGAGTACGCAACAATCAGTGAATCGACGAGTGTGTCAACAAAATCGCACCGGGGCGTGCTGTAGCTAATGCTCTGCAAACATCAGTGAATGCGGGCCTCATGCTCCAAATAGAGTTCTGATTACATTGAAAAAGTGTACGCATCTCACATAAAAAAAGAGTTGTGATCGATTACTATTGTTTTTCATATTCATTTTTTTTTTTATTATCATTTTAAGGGCTTTTACCTTCTTCAGGTATATCAGCCTATGGTACTCTGAACTGATGTATCAAACAAAATTTTATCTACTCTCCCTAGACACGGAAAGAGAAGAATTAATGGGCATCAATAATTTACAGATGTGTTCAAAAATTTCTGGTTTAAGTTCAGCTAATATAGATTGAATAAGACCAACATAAAATTTATTCAAGTTAAAGTGGCGCATAAATTCTTCTCTTTCCTTCGTGTTAATACGACACTCTAATAGAATATGATGCACATAATCGATGGCATCACAAGTTTGACAATGAGGTGACAAGGACTTTCCCATCATATGTGCATATTTTTTTGATGGATAATGACCAGATCGAAGACGAACAGCTAATTTAATATTATATCTATTGATTTTAATTCCTCAAAGTCAAGGAATATGTGGAGGTTAGTTTTATACCAAATCATATCCATTGTTAAATTTAGGTTGACTCTGTATGTAAATGTAGTCATCAATCAATAAGTTTTAGCTTCTTTTAATCAAGACGTCATAAGAGCCGGTTATGTGAATTCAGTAAAACACGATACAAAACTCTATGCCAAATCAACAGGCCCATAATTTTCCAGTGGTTCCAGCATAGAATAGGCCACTCTTTCCTTTCCTGTGGGTGTCGTGACAGGTGACTAAGGGAGGGCCAGGGATAAGCAGCAGTATCCCTCTTAAAACATCCCTAAAGCCAACTACTGGCCTCCTAGGGGGAGGCTTATGTTCAGCAATAAACAGGTTAAAGCTGATATTGTGATGATAATGTATTAGTACTAAGTTAATATCCTCCTCTTGTGAAAATATTTGTATCCAGTAGTGGAATGCTAATTAACACGCGCCCATAGAATACATCTAGACCTTCGCAGATTTACTACCATGTTAGTCCATCAAGGGACGTAGCTTAGACCAATTTTAATTTGCTTATTTTTCAGTTTTAAATGCAATATTTTATACGTGATCATCGAATTACTTTACAAACATATTAAAAAGCTTGAGTCTTCTAACGGCAACTGTGGTAGATTGATATTGTAGTATATAATAAAACAATTATGATAAAAGCCACAAAGTCGCATTAATTTCCTGATCCTCAAGGTTTTTTTTATTGGCTGAAAATGAAATGGTAACCCCGATTGCGCTATAGATATACGCTGGCAGGGCACCAGTGAGAGATGACAAATACGGACGAAACCAGATCCGTTAGCTCATCATGACGATTTCAACTAGAATTAACCACGATAGTTTCAGGGGGAACCATGTGGAGGTCGACCTAAGGGTGTATTGCTAGTAATGGGACTATTTGACCCCATTACTGACAATCCATTTCCACTCGATCCTCAAGCTAGAATACCTTGTGTTATAAGAAACCAGGATAAGAAAATCGGAGAGCACAACCCGAAATATCCAGATCTGGGACATTTAGGAAAAAAAATGTTTTCTAAATTGATCCAACCGAAAATTGAATCCGAGATTCGATTTAAGCAAGACAACGTGCCCACTACTGCAAATCTGAGGTCGTCCATTAATTGAGATACAATTATCATTAATGTACAATTAATAAAAAACTATGGAAATTAAACAAACCTCATAAATTTTTCTGCCCCAACAGTTTTTATCGGTACATTTGTTCGTGTCCGTGGGTTGGTACCGATTTATCTACTAAGTAATTTACGATTAGACACTAAATCAATTTGACCGTCTGTTTTATACGATCACTAATATATTTTCATAATAAAACATACTAAAACAGTAAATACCTGTGACTTTTGATCTAGTAATAGTGTAGTGTTGTTCCCAACCATATCTGATTATGGCAAAAAAATATTATATCTATGTTAATTTATTGTCTTGAAAATCAAAGGTATTTGCAAAATGTTGCTAAAAACAGATACAAAAACTATATACAGACATACAGATGCAGTATGATCCCGGTATAACATGGGTCGCTCCTTCCTTTCCCGTGGGTGTCGTATGATGTGACTAAAGAAACTTTATGGTCGAAGGATGGGTAGCAGCATCTCTTTTAAAACATCACCAAATTCAAATGTGCAAATTGCCTGCCAAGCGTGGCATTTACTAGCAAAACTCCTCTTATGGGAGAGGCCTATGTACAGCAGTGGACAGTTAACGGCTGATTGGACCATAAACAGACAGAAGAAGAAGGGTTCTTCAAAAGGGGGGTAAAGAGGTTTCTTCAGGGTCGGCAACGCGCGCGTAATACCTCTGGTATTGCAGGCGTTCATAGGCTACGGTAACCGCTTACCATCAGGTGGGCCGTATGCTTGTTTGCCACCTCAGTGGTATAAAAAAAAAAGAAGAAAGCGGTAGAAAACACAATCGTTTGATTTATCCTACCTATAAAGACAGAATAGCAAGTAATTTTTTTTTTATACCACAAAGGTAGCAATCCAGAATACAGCCCATTTGATGGTAAACGATCACTGTAGTAAATATAGAAAAACATAAGAAAAGTAATAACTATGATATTGATTTTATTTTTCCATTTATTTGTTATTTATTAGTAGAAGGTAGGAGTGTGAAAAATAAAACTACACGTAATTACAACAATATATATATATATATATATATATATATATATATATATATACGGTCGTATTTTGAAAACAAAAGAACGATAATGAGAATTCATATTTTTCAATTATTAAGTACTTGTTTTTTTTAAACAACTTAGAATGGCAAACAAGCTGACGGCCCACCTGATGGAAAGTGGTAACCGTCGCCTATAGACATGAGCAGTATCATGGACATAACAGAGTATACTGTTTCGCCCATGATACCCCCATGCGTTGCCATTTCTGAGGACTCAGGTGTTATTCCTCTGTACCCAGTAAATTCACGCCATATCCCACCCTTCAAACCGAAACACAGCCATGCAAACACAACTGCTTCACGGTAGTAAACGAATGGAACATAGGTACCCAAGCAATCGACTTTTGTACAACTATCTTTAACATAACAATAATTAATACTTAGGAAGGATTTATAGAGAAGAATGTTATTTATAGAGAAGAATGTTATTAAAATAACGATGTTTTATCACTTTTCTCTTAACTTAAAAAAATATATCACTATTAGATATTATAACTTCAAATGTCAATATTTATGTCTTATTGCAACTGCAAGTTTTCTGATTTTCATTGATAAGTTCCCTCATCAGCAAACTTTGTATTTCATTCCTTATCATTAACTTTCTCACAGGAGTTAAATTTCTCAAAAAAGGTACTAAAGATTTCACAAAGTGCATATCGTCATCGATTTCCACTTCATTTTTTATTCTATCGTCATCTGAGACTGTTATCTTTTCTGATAAATCATTTTCCCTTTTTATTGTTGGACAAACGGTAACTTCTTCTGGTTCCTCGGGTTCCAGTTTCATTTCGCTGATTTGTGTTTTGTAAATTTGTTGATACGAATTCATATAATCGTTATAAAACTCAGACGGCAATGAATGTTCAGTGATTGATATTTCTTCCAATTTTACTTGCTTCGAGAAATCTAGTTCCTCTTCTGCATCTTCTGTAGCAGAATTCCTTCTCTTTTTGATTTGGTCATCAACTGTTTCCTTCATGAACAGAAGTCTCTCGAAGTACATCCATTTGCCTTTGTAGAAGGATATCAGGGGCTGATCATTGGTGCCTGATGAAGGTACTGCAAGTTTCTTTGCTTCTCTTAAGAACTGGTCTCGGAGATTTCGCCATTTATTTTTCACTTTGTATTCTGAAAAAAAAACAGAAAAAGTCAATTTAAAAAAAATAACCTTAATTAGAAATTTTGATTGCTTCAGTTACGTGGTCTTTATTATTTTGTGCATTTTTTTATCTTGTCACATAAATTGAATTGTTAAATACATATTTAAACACCTTATATTTGTTTATCTTTATCAATACATATAATAAAATCGTAATAATAATAAATAAAACTATTATAGGGGACCCTTTATGTCTGTTTGTTTGTACGTTTATGCACGCTAATCTCAGAAACGGCTTAACCGATTTGAACGCAGTTTTCACTATTATGTTGCGGTTTATTTAACATTTAGTGCTTGTTTTATTTCAATCGATTCATAAATAAAAAAGTTATATCAATCTGAAAAAAAAAACACATAAAATGCTTTAAAATAACTGATTAGTTAAATTAGTTGACGCTTTATGAAGATATTAGGTACGTAATTATCATTTAAGTATATAATACAATATAAGACCGGATTCATGAAGAGTTCCAATGGCAATGTACGGAAACTACGTAGTTAAAAGCGGGCAACGCCGCGGGAAGCGGGTAATTAAAAATAAAACGTGTTTAATTTAATGAATTTTATTAACAATAATCTATAAATAGGAGCTTATGGTCATGGCATGGACAGCAGCGTCTCTCTTAAAACATTACCAAAATCCAAACTGGAGTTGCCAACACGCCTGCCAAGCGTGGCAACTATTGGCAAAACTCTCTCGTATGTTCAGCAGTGAAGAGTTTGACATATGAAATTATAAATAAATATTTTTATACAGACTATGTAACTATAATCATTTATACAGTTTTCTGTTATATTATTTAAGATAGGCAGACGGATCGATTCGGAATTATCATTTCTAACCTTACTTTTTTTTTTTATACGACTTAGAATGGCAATCAAGCTGACGGCCCACCTGATGGAAAGTGGTAACCGTCGCTTATAGACATGAGCAGTACCATGGACATAACAGTACACACACATACTGTTTCGCCCATGATACCCCCCATGCGTTGCCATTTCTATATGGATATATATATATATATATATATATATATATATATAGTGAGAGGTAAAAACCGATCTTATTGCAATGACGTTAAAGTTCATATTCATTTACACATTTGTCCCCACTACAACTACACTCACATTCTACAATATACTCTTCATATGAAAGAGACAACAATATAAAACATAAACTTACTGTCACTGCGCAAAATTTTCGCAACAACTCCCCATTCTCTGTCCACTTTCGCTCGATTCGAGTGTGCCAGGTGACGCCTGTTCCATAACATTGGCCTTTTTTCAACCTCGTCGATCAACTCTTCGACCATACTCATTGCGACAAATGAAATATTAGCGGGAAACACGCAAACACTGTACTTCTCTATTGTGTTCCTTTTACAAACTGGTATTTTAAAAATAGAATAGACGTCGTGCGTGCGACGCGACTAAAATGTTACTGGCCGGCAACAGTGCGACCGCGGTGTGCGATGTAATCGATCGGTGCGTGCGACGTTGCCGCATCGCACGGGCGCGTCGGTGAAGACCGGAATACACGGCGTCGTACACACTGTGGTATCGCATTAATATAACGCAAAATATTACAGTTCATAGAAATATAATTAAAATATAAAAATAATATACATTTAATATTTCAATAATATTTCTATATTAATTTTAAATTATGTAGTAAATTGTCAACCTGTTTTAATATAAACCAAACTGCTTAATATTATTAATATTTTTGAAAAAAATCTTTAGCATATATATATATATATATATATATATATATATATATATATATATATATATATTTGTTACCTCAGAATCCTGCCACGTACAAAACGATTTGGAAAATGATCTCTATTTATTTGAAGCGATATATGTATTTCTAAATCGGTGCTATATAAATTTCATCAAAATTAAATCAGTAGTTTGATTTTTAAATGAAAATTAGTTATTTTCATTTTGCCGCCATTCAAGTTGGTGTATTATTTTTTGTTGAAAAAGATTTATTAGTTTACGGATTTTTGTCTTACCGAAAAATTAATTCTATTGCATCCAACACAATACTGAACTGCCAATAACGTAAACAAATATAAAATCAAAAAAAAAATAATAATGTGTAAATACTATCCTATGTTATTGTTTGCATTGTCGACTTGGCATTTATTCTGCAAAAACATGTTAACAAAGGAATAAGTGAATAAATAAACATGAAAGTCCTTCAAATTAAAAACTCGTCATTTTGAAGTCGCTAGTGTAGACACGGCTTTAGCTTGCGCTGTCGCTTCACAACGAACGTTGTCGTGTCGGTCGCGGTCGCGGCGCTGACGCCATGACGTCACGTGATACGATGACGAAGTAAAGCGGCAACGCAGACAACGCGCTGTACTCTATTGTGATCTAAGTAGTATAGAGCAGGGAGCGGAAGGGAGGGGGGGAGGATTGTTAGTAACGGGAACTAGCAGTTACATTGTAGTAATATACCGTGCCAAGTCGACCTCCACGCGGTTGTCCCTGCAAACCATAGTGGATGATGATGATGAATTCCTCACGATGGGTCAACCTGACCTGCCTGGGAGGAAGGGGATTGTTAATAATATAATTATTGTTAGGTTAGCACCCATTGCTATCAATATCCCCTGTCGAGTCGACCTCCACGTGGTTCCCCCTGGAAACCATCGTGAGCAATTGTTGGATTCATCACGATGTGCTAACTGACCTGCTTCATCCTCACCTATCATCCTTCACTGGTGCCTTGCCAGCATATAGTGCAGGCGTGACTACCATCTATTAAAAAAAAAATAGGCAGTATAGCTATTGCGATTAAAAAAAAACAGCTTATTATTTATGACACTTCAAAAAATCTACAACTGAAAAGACATTCTCTGTTTTGACAAATGTCATAATGTCAATATAGGCGCTAAATGCAGATGTCAAAAGTTGAATGACCGAAAACAAACGGCTCGGACACATTCGCAGCAAAGTTTAGCAATCAGTGTGGCAGCGCGTGTACACTATCAATAGGGTTGTCACCTTGTTAAATTATTAAATTTCTTTAATTCGACCCGTTATTGGAATATCAGTAATATAGGCTCAGTGACCGTTTACCATCAGACAAACGGCTCGGATACATTCGCAGTGAAGTTTAGCAATCAGTGTGCCAGCGCGTGTACACTATCAATAGGGTTGTCACCTTGTTAAATTATTAAATTTATTAAAATTCGACGCGTTATTAGAATATCGGTAATAATTATAGGCTACAGTGACCGTTTACCATCAGACGGGCTGCAGCCTTTTTCTTTTTATACAACTTAGCAAAGCTACGGTCCACCTGATGGAAAGTGGTAACCGTCGCCTATAGACATGAGCAGTACCATGGACATAATAGAGTATACTGTTTCGCCCATGATACCCCCCATGCGTTGCCATTCCTGAGGACTCAGGTGTTATTCCTCTGTACCCAGTAAATTCACGCCATATTCCACCCTTCAAACCAAAACACAGCCATGCAAACACAGCCGTTACACGGTTGAAAAACGAATGGGACAGAGGTACCCAAGCGATCAACTTTTGTACAAAGTCTCCCTCTGCTTGCCACCATTGTGGTATATAAAAAACATATCTTTTACATCACAGAGTATCATAATATTACACGCGTTACAATGTAAATACTGTTAATCTACACTTGTAATGTTCAATTTAATTTAATTCTTTTTTGTATGGTATTATATTTAATTTCAGACATAATGTAAATTTTTTTTTTAATTAATGACTAAACGACTATAATTTTTAATCTGTATCTAAATTAATGAAACGAGGGTATCCGCAAAAGAACCAAAGTAACCGACATAGCCCGAAAGATAGGCAAACTGAAGTGGCAATGGGCTGGTCACATAACTCGAAGAGTCGACAACCGGGGAAGAAAGGTTCTTGAGTGGCGATTGCGTACGGGTAAACGCAGTGTAGGACGACCCCCCACTAGATGGAGTGACGACCTGAAATGCATTGCAGTGGATGCAGGTGGCTCAGAATTATTCTTTATGGCGATCTATAGGGAAGACTTATGTCCGGCAGTGGACAGATAATGGCTGAAATGACGATAGACTTCCGTAAGATAAGATTTAGTTAAGTTAAAATAACAGCCAGTATTAAAATTACGTGATTGTTTAACGCGAATAAATTTTACTTCAATATTTTGCGATATTGATTAAAAATCCGTTCCAAATGATCCACGCTTGAAAAGATTTATTACGTTTTTATGGGCAGTATCAATTTTGCAACGCAGCAACTGTTAAAAAACGGTCGCAGTTTCGGATTTTAATAGTTCGTAGTGCGTATACTAGAATTAAACGTAATAACTGAAAAATATTTACATTTAAATAAAGAATAAGTGATATGCAATCATAGGAATTTGAGTAACAAATTGCTAAAACCCTCCTTTATGGGGAAAGTCTATGTCCAGTAATGGACAGTTAAAGGTAAATAAAATAATATGATGATATAATTAATCACACTATTTTTTTTTTATGCAACTTAGAAAGGCGAACAAGCTGATGTCACACCTGATGGAAAGTGGTTACCACTTTCCATCAGGTGTGACATCAGCTGAGTATAGACTAGACTAAACTAGAGCAGTGTATAGACATGGACAGTACCATGGACATAACAGACTATATTGTTTCGCCCACGATACCCCCTATGCATTGCCATTCCTGAGGACTCAGGTGTTATTCCTCTGTACCCTGTAAATTCACTGCCATATCGTGGCGTTAGGTGGGCCGTCAGCTTGTTTGCCATTCTAAGTTTTTTTTTATACAACTTAGAATGGCAAACAAGCTGACGGCCCACCTGATGAAAATTGATAACCGTCGCCTATAGACATAGTTGTATAAAAAAAAAGTCTACAGGGCGGACTTAATGCCTGATGGCCCTCTCTACCAGTCAACCGTTACAATAGACAGATAGTAAATAGATAGTAAATTTATGTTAAATATTAAGAAGTGACAACCCTAACTAAGAGGCTCCAGTAATTGCGATTGTTTCAGTTTCAACTATGAGCATTTTCAGTTTCGTGATTCGCCTGAAAAACTGAATGCTCGTCTGACGAACCGCTAATTGCATTTGTTTATGAGTTATTTAGTACTGAAGTGATATTTTCACCAACTCAAGTTTTTTCATTACGTGTATTTCTTTTATGTATGCTATTATGTTTAATTTTTTTTAAGGGAAGAAAGCGATTGTTAGTAATGGAGACCGAGAATCCCATTACTAGTAACGTACCCAACTAGATCGACTTTCACGCGGTTCTCCCTGAAAACTATCATGGTTAATTCCTGATGAATTCATCATGATGGGCTAACTGGCCTGTTTTCATTCTCATCTATCACCCTTCACTGGTGCTCCGCCAGCGTATCCTGTTAGCGCAGGCGGGGTTACCATACCAGAGTGGCAAAAAAGCATACAGCCCATCTGATGGAAATTCTTGAGAGTAATATTGAGAGATTTCATAAAAAGTCAAATGTTTCGTAAATCTATTTTAGTTATTGTATTGTTGTTGTTGTCTCTTTCTTTTCTGCTAAATTCTCAGTTTGAGAGAAAGTGACAAAACTATTTAATAGTAAAATACGTGTGAAGAAGTAAGCGGAGAAACAGACGCGGACAGCGAGTTTGTTTTATATTATTGGTGATTCAAAGTATTTGATCCAATAGACATGTAAATCTCAACGCACTCCCTTACTCTAAGGGTTACTCCCTTACTGTTTCGATCCGGTTACTATGTTAGTATGTTCACATCGGGATCAACTAATAAAATCTCTTTGAAGCACTTTGTGCATATCATAGGAGCTCTGTGACTTCCTTTCTGCACTTTGACGTCATGATGTAATTTAACAACTTGGGAAAGGATGAATAAAAAAATAACACAAACACATTGAAACGGCAATCTTTTTTTAGGGTTCCGTACCGTAAAGGTAGAATGGAAGTCTCATGGTACGACTTTGTCCGTCCGTCTGTCACAGCGTTATGAGAATACGCTGTGGATTTGAAATTTGGAATAGTTTTACATATTTTATCAGAGGGAGACTTTGTACAAAAGTCGATTGCTTGGGTACCTCTGTCCCATTCGTGCTTCTACTGTAAAGCAGTTGTGTTTGCATGGCTGTGTTTCGGTTTGAAGGGTGGGATATGGCAGTGAATTTACAGGATACAGAGGAATAACACCTGAGTCCTCAGGAATGGCAACGCATGTGTGGTATCATGGGCGAAACAGTATACTCTGTTATGTCCATGGTACTGCTCATGTCTATAGACGACGGTTACCACTTTCCATCAGGTGGGCCGTCAGCTTGATTGCCACTCTAAATTGTATAAAAATAAATATTGACTCACACATATTGAAACAGAAATAACGGAAAAAGTATTTTTATTTTCCTTGCTAGAGGATCTAAAAAGGGTATTCAAAATTTTCAAATTGACTTGCTAGT